CTGTCCGACATGGAGGGGCGCGCGCGGTCCGGCGCGCCTCCGCGCGACGGCAAACGCAGCCCCTTCAGAATGGTTTTGGGGCGCAGTGCGCAGACGGATCACGTCCTTGATCCTCTGCGCCTCCGGGTTGTTCGGGCGAGCCGCGCGCGTGGATGCGGCGTTGACCGCGGCTCGGTTTTCATTTGCGCTGAGTCGCGGGGGGGCCAGCCCTTGTCCACGAAGAGTCGGTTCCGCCCAGCCAACCACTCCTTGGCGCGCGTGGGTCGCTCGACCTCGCGCCGCGAGAAGGCAGCGCCCAGGTCGGCCTCCCGCTAGTTGGCCTTTGCGACGAACGCCTCGCAACCGATGGCGCGCTGCTCGCGCGATGCGATCACCGCGTCTTCCTTCGCACTCTTGTCTCGAGCTTTCCGCCCTTGCTCTGATCGCCGCGGGCCGACGTCAGCGGCCGCGCCCGCTTGCGAGACAGACTTGACGGCCTCGGCGAACGCTGCTTCAAGGGGGCCGCCTGGGGCCCGTGCAAGCCGTTCCGTCGCCGCCGCCGCGCCGAAGGCGCCTGGTTCGACGGGGTCCGCCGTGGCTGGGCCACAGCAGGGGGGGTCGCGGCGCTGGGAGAGGTGGGGGAAAGTTGCTTCGTTTCACAAGTTCAGCCCGCTGACTGCGACCTCAGCCTGAGCCCGCGCGGCCGCGTCGAGAAGGGCTCGGCAGGGCTCGCGCAGCCGGGGGCGAGTGATGAGACTGCGAGATGGACAGACGGTAGACGGGAGCGGCGAGGGAATGCACTTGGCGGACGAGGGCGCGCCGGGATGTCTGTCCGCGCGGTGGAGGAGCAGGATTGGCACATTCGCGGCCTGGGCCTTAGCCCAGTCGCCGTCCAGACGCGGAATGCGAATCATATCGGACCCATATTGCCAGCAAGCAAGCCAGTTGCCGAGCTCGGAAACAAGGTGCCCCGGTGTTTTTTGGCCCCACTTCAAAAACAGCGAAGCATTTGCCTTCGGCACGTGCCTTGGACAGGGGCGAAAGGCATGCCCCGCCAAGGCACGGGGCGCGTGCGCTCGGGCTTTTTTTTCCCAACACGCGCGCCTCAAACGCTGTGTGATCGGGGTTCAACCAGCGCGGCGCTCGCGCGGTGATGCCCTCGCGGTCCGCGAACAAGTCGCAATCGAATTGGCCGAATTCTTTGGCGGGGCGGTCCATCGCTGACTTTCAACGCCGCCTCGCGGAAGGGGTCTATTTCCGCCGAGACGCGCAGGTCGAGTCTGGGCGGCCGCCGTGTCTTCCGTTTTCATCGCGACGCGCCATCCGTGCAAACATTCGGGTTCTGTTAGAACGGCCTGGACCGCGACCCGGACTTCTTCAGAGTTAGTCGCGTCTGCGCTGTCCGCAATCCGCGAAACCTGCTGGCCAAGCGCCGGCCTTGACCAGGCCGGGCCCCCCCTCGAATTGCCCGGCCGACCGCGCAATTTGCCGGCGTCAGTTTCGATGGCGCGCGGGCAGATGGCCGCCGCCAAACGACGCCAGTCGTGAGAGTCTGGCGAGCTTCGGTTCCCGAAGTGAAAGATGACCGGCATCGCCGCGCAGCGGTCGCACCGGGGCGCAGCCCAGAGCGCGGCGCCACCGCCTCACAGCATCGCGCGCGTCGGGGCCCAGGTGGGCGACGGGGTTCGCCGCTAGGCGGCGAGCCCGCCCGCGGCGCGTGCGCATTTGCTCCGTTCAGCGACGCCTAGACATGGCGCAGTCGCCGCCTGCCTTGCAACGTGGTTGGCCATACTGGCGGCGGCCGCCAGGTCGCGCGCCAGCGCGGTCCCAGCTGAATCAGCACGCGCGGCGTCGAGGGTCAGGGATTGGCGCCCGTCGCCCGCGCTGCGCTCGACCGACAGCGGGTCGCCCAGAGTGTCGACGACCCGCCTTGCCCAAGTCTGCGCTTGAGATGGCGCTCGGGCGCTATTTTCTGTCGCGGGAACCAGGGCGCCAATCTTCGGCGGGGCGCGCCAGTTACAGAACGCGCCCACCCAATCCGCCGAGCGTTCGGCACCCCGCGGAGACATGCGCGACATCGCCTGCTCCACCGTCCCGTCATTCACTGGGAGGTCGGGCAAAGAGGCGTTCGAGCTGCCCCTGGGAAATGCCCATAATAATGCGAACCTTGACCCTCTCCTTTTCTGGCGCGTTGTCTCTGGCACCCGCCCTGGGTTTGACGACGGCCGCGCGGAGGTGGGCGCGCAGTCGGGCGGGTCGAGCGGCGCCCGGCAGAAGGGGATTTTCTTTGGTCGCGCCGCGCGGGGCGACTCCAAATCAGCAAGCCAGGCGCGCCGCGACAGCGAAGGGCGATGGGGTCAATTTGTGGCGCGACCCCCCCCAGTTGATTCGAAGGCGGCAGCTGCTCTCCCAATGCTCCAGAAATCCGACCGCTGCACCGAGCTCCTTCCTTGCGCAGGTCAACGTTCAGCCGCGCCCGCGACGCCGCCCGCGCAAATTGCTCGCGCGTCTGCCGCGCGCGCCCCTCGCAAGAGCCGCTGCAGCCGGTCTGCGCCATGGCCAAAGGGGCGAATGACACGATGGCAGTGCCAGTGGGGCGAGATGAGACAGGCTGCGCGCGAGCTTGACCCCTCTGTCCACGGACCTCCCATGGCCGGGTGCGACTGGCGAGGGCGCGCGACGGCCGCGGCGACCGCTAGTGGGCGCCAGGCCCGCCTTCGAGCCACCTGGCAGACAGCGGGCAAACATGATGGTCGGTCCAGCGAGCTCGTAAGCGCCGCAGGCCAGACAACCGCGCATGGGCGCCTGCCCAGCATTTCCAGACGACAGGATCTCGCGAGTCAGCGTTCTTCGCGGCCTGCCGGTGGGACAGTAGACGCCGCCGGAAGGGCCGCGCCGGCAGCGCAGCAGGCGCCGCTGGCTACGGAAGCTGCGCCTGGTCGCGCGCCCGACGCGCCAGACATTGGACGACGAAAAACCGTGATGCGTGGGCGCCCGCTGGACGTGCCCAACCACAGGTAGGGATGGACTAGCATAGCAATCAGCGCTGTTGGACAGGCAGCCCGCAATGAGGAAGCCACCCTTCTTGCAGGCCAGAGTTGGACGTCGAACGGCCGCTGGCGTCGGCGCCCGCCAGCGGGCCACTGGGCGCCGCCAGCAGGGCCGCGCCCGCCGAACAATAGGCGCGCCATGCCGCATCATCCGCTCTCCAGCGCGAACAGTCGCGAGCATTGCATGGGGCGCGGAGATGTCCGCGACGCACGATGCTCACTGGCGGGGCAGGGGGCGCCGCCGACATGGCTTGACAAGCCGAATAATTGGCGCGCCTAGTTGAGTGGGTTGCGCCAGCAATCGCGCGCCAGCGCGGAGTATCGAACAGGGCCAGGATTGCCCAGAGGGCCTGGAAGGGCAATGAGCACCGCCAGCAAATATTTTGACCGGCCGAACAATAGGCGCCGCTGGCCAGTCGCGCGAAAGCCCCGCCGACAGAACAGCAGGCGCTGCCGGCTGCCCCCTGCGCCAAATTGCCTCGCTAGCGGGGGTGGGGCAAGAAGCGCCCCCCTGTGTGACCGCGCGAATAACTCGGCGACCTGCAAGCAAGATTGCCCACAATTTTCGCTTGAGCAGCGGCTGCTTGGGCTGTGGAAATCGCAGTGAACAGATTGGCCACGGAGGGGGGGGAGGGGTAGGAGGGCCCCTCGCACCTCTGGGACGGGGTCGAGAGCTCGCCGAGAGAGGTCGCCGGCTGATTTGTCTTGGGTGGGGGGCTCGCCGCGAGCAGACGCCGGCATGCCGTTTCTCGCAGCTGCTCATCTTGCAGCCCCCCATCCCGCGAGCGAGCTAAGCGCGCGGTCTCGGTGGTTCTTCTCTCGGCCAGAGTCGGCCGTCCACGCGCATGAGCACGCGCGCATCTCCTCCAATCGCCCCTTCTCCCCGACGGGGGGGCGGGTCTGGCGGGGGTAGGGAAGTGTCCTGGGGGCGGGGGTCGGCGTCTGCGCCGACGCGGCGCCGGCGCCCCGCGTGGCGCCCTGCCGCGAAACGACGGGCAGTTGCGATGCATTGCGCCCTGCGCGGCGCCCGGCGACGCAACGTGCCCCGCGCGGCGCCCTGCCGGGGGAAGGCAGGCGCTCGGCCCCGCGGGGGCGCGACCCACCGAGCCTTGGCTCAGCGGCGCAATGGGCGCCGGCGAAGCCCGGCAAGGTCGCCTGCGGACCATTGCCATCGGCGGGCGCTGGCAATGCTGCTTGTGCCCCTGATGCGCGAAGCATCTGCGTCTCTAGATCGGCCATTGCCCTAGAGGCTTCGCCTTCCTCGTATTGAGATCATTTCTGGCAGTCTACAGGGTGGTCCTGGCCCCCCTGTTCCCCCCGCCCCCGCGCGCGTCGCGGTCGCCTGCAGCTGCTTCGGCCCCGAGTCCTCGCGCGGCATCCCTGGGCGGGCGCTTCGCGCAGGCGCTCGCCCGGCCCGCCATCGAGGGCGCGGGGGCGGCGCTCTTCCAAGGTCTGCGAACTGCGCTCTACGAGCGGCTCGCGGGCCAACCTCTGGCACCGCTCGCGGACTACGTCGCCTCCTCCGCGGGGCCCTCGCGGTCCGCTCGGGCCGACCCGAGCGGCGGAGGGCGCTGCTCTCCTGCCGCCTGGGGCGCGGCCTGCCCCGCCGTTTGCCCGGGGCTGGCCGTGGGCTTGGGCGGCGGAGTGACGCCTCTTCTGTTGGTGACCTCCGCCGCCTGCAGCCTTTGCAGGGGCTGCTGCGTCGAGGCGCTGGTGGCCCGCTGGCTGGGGCCCTGGGGCTTCCCGCGCGCGCGGGCTGCGATTGGCGCCCTTGGCGGGCCCGGTCGCGGCCAGCAGCGCGCCCTGGCCTGCGCCCCAGGAGCGCTGGCTGGGGGGCGCGCGCGGGCCCTGTCGGGAGGCCCAGCCGCTGCGCCCCCCCACGGCTGCGCCTGGCTGGCGGCCTGCGCGCCGCCTGCTCGTCAGAGGCCGTGGCGGCCGATGCCTCGGCGACGGGGGGGCTCGCCATCCCCGATGGGCCCGCCTGGCCCGATCTTCGCCCGTTCTCGCCCCTTCAGCCTTGCGGCGCGACCGCTGGCGGCTGGGCGGGGGCGAGATAAGCGCGCCGCGATCCCCCTGGCAACTCGGCCCGGGGGCATTTTGAAGGTGTTGCCCGGGTCCTTTCGCTCAGCCGACCGTCTCAGCCTGGCGGCGGCGGAAGGATTCACAGGGCTGGTGGGCCCCTTCCAGGTGGTCAACGGGCCCTTGCTCGGCGCGGCGTCGCGCCCGCTGAGGACGACCGCCTCGGTGTTGCTGGGCGATTGGGAGGTCTCCGTGATGGATCTGGAGGCTCTCGCCCCTCTGGGCGAGGGAGATGCCGACGGGCTGATCCCGTTCGGGCCAGCCCGTCGTCGCGCGCGTTGGCCGCGCCCTTCGGGGGCCGTCGGCCTGCGCAACGGCTACGCGGCGACGCGCGGCGCTGCGCCCATCGGCGTGGGAAAGGCGCCCCCGGCACGGAGAGCTCGTGGGGGGCGAGCTGGAGGACGACGCCGACATCGTGGAACGCCCCCCTTTCCTGTGCGAGCCCCGCCGCCGCCGGCGGCGCTGTCTGCTCCGCCGCGGGGCCGTCTCGGCGCGCGTCCGAATCCTTGGGGGAGCGAGGCCCGCCCGCGGGCGTGAAGGGCCATCGCCGCGGCTCTGGGCGAGGGGGCGCTTATGACCCGCGCAGAGGGCCAGCTGGGCATCCAGCGGCCGATGGCTGCGAATGCGGCCCAGTCCGCGGGTCCACCTGCGGGGGCGCGCCCGAACGTGCCGGGGGCCCGCGTCGAGGCGCCGCTGCCCCTGTCAAAAAGCAATATAATGTGCTCCCGGGTCTCGCGAACATGTCTCCATACTTTACCCCGCAGCGTCATTTGTATTGTTTTTTTTTGACAGGATGGTGGAGCAGGGCCGCATCGGGTTGGTTGCGCGTGCTCCGAATTTGGAGGCAGAGTGCGTGTTCGCACTGTTGTTTGACAACGATGGTTTGGGGGGTCCTCACAGGGTCCTCATTGTTCCTTGTTGGCTGCCAGTCGCTTGTGGGAGGATATGTACATTAATGATATTACACTTGAGAAAACCCTATCAGTTGATTAATTGAAAACTTATATTATGGATTTTGAGATCGAATGTGAGATGGATAAGGCGATTGATCGTGGTATCGACGATAGCGAGGACGATTGTAAGGTCGATCGTGAGACCGAGAGTGAAATCGATTCAGCATTATCGATAGTGAGATCGATCGCGACATCGTTCATGCGATCTCTAGTGAGATCGCTTGTGATATCGATATTGTTATCGAGTGTGAGATCGATGGTGAAATCGATAGAAGAGTGGGTAATGAGATCGGTGGTGGGATCGATAGATAAGAAAATCGACCAGGAATCCGGGAACCCAGGAACTTCGCCGCCCTCCGAAATCGGCCCGGGAACCGGAAGCGGGAACCCTGGAACCCAGAACCGGGAACCGGGGAACCCAGTGTGCGACCAAAATCGGGGGCACTGTTTCGCCAATTTTTTCAATTTCCGCGAGTACCCTTTCAGTGCAAACGCTGGCTGGGGAATAGGGGACAGTAACAGACCCTTCCCCGAAGGACAAGAAGGAGGTTGGAAAATAAACTATACCAGAGATAACCACAATCAGAGGATGGTTTGAACATTAGTGATATGGATGTTGAGATTGTGGAATTGATAGCGAGGACGACTGTAAGGTCGATCGTGAGACCGTTAGTGAAGTCGGTTCAATGAGATCGATCGTGAGATCGCTCGTGCGATCTCTAGTGAGATCGCTTAAGATCGATCGTGAGATCGATTGTGAGATCGATGGTGCGATTGATAGGGGATGTGTTATGAGGTCCATGGTGAGACCCTGCTCGATAAGAAAATCGACCAGGAACCAGGGAAACTGGGAACCCCGCCGCCCACCGAAATCGGCGGGAAACCCGGACCCAGGAACCCGGGAACCTGGGACCGGGAACCCGGGAACCCAGCCTGCGACCAAAAGCCGCGGGACACTTTCGCCAAATTTTTCAACCTCCGCTAGGACCCCTTCAGTGCAAGCACTGATTGGGGATTTTTTTAGACCACCTACGCCCCGAGGGCTGGTGGGATTACATGTGTGTCTACCTCGCCGTTCATATTCATCCGTGGTCATATCATCCCAGCAAAAACCACAGGTCACCGTTCCCTTTTGATCCCTGACCATGAATATTTCGCGCGCGCACTCGTTTATAACAAGTGGTCATTTTCCACAAGTCCGTCGCAATATATGACACAACGTCCACGCGCGCACATGTCGAAATCATATCAGACACACCAGTCGTTGCAAAGGGCATCAACATAAACAAAAACATCAAGCTCCCAGGTGTTGCACCGCAGGTCTTGCAAATGTGCTGCCTGCGCGACTGTGCGGACATCTTCGGCAACAAACTACGTATAAGTTTGGCAATCTCGCTCAGAACTTGCATTCTGATTCCACCACGCGTCGCATCCGCGATGATCCAGCATGCGCCCAGTGCGCGAATCCATCCATGTCCAATAACTTCATGCAGGCCACCCTCACGCGCAGCCTGGCGAGCGTGTCGGAATCCTTCCCACACAATTTTGTGTTCGAATCACGTAGGAACAACCACATGTTTTCCAACTGACGTGTTGCCAGGAGTTTGGGATTTCCGTGCGCGCACTCCCCCAGCATCACCATCAGCGCCGCCGCATCACGTCGTTGTCATCGACAATCGCCGCCATTGCCGTCACCATCATTCAAACACCTTCGTCATCGCCACATGGACATCATGTTCGTCATCGGCGTTACCAGCATCGGCGCCGTCATCGCCATCATCATCGCCACCACCGTCGCTATCATCATCATCATCGTTGCCGCTGCTGTCCACGTCAACATGATACCGCGCCCGCCCGAACCATCGACCCGAATTAAAGCGCCCGAGTTTTCATCGCGGCCATTGACATGATCTGGAACGCTGCCGTCGGTAAGCGCCATCGCCGCCGAATCAGCTGTGCCAAACCAGCTGGCCGCTCTGCGCGCGAGTTTGCGCGCGCCAGCGCGGACGCATGGGCACCAGCCATGGCCGAGCAGTCATTGCCATCGCTGCCGCATGGGTCTGACAAACCAACTTGCGGGTGGGAGGGTAGGGCGGTTGCGCGAGCAGTTGCTCTGACACTTGATGAGTGAATATTAGTTCGCCGTACCTCGCAGATCACATTGTATAGCTTACACATCCACAATGCAACATGCTAATGTGTGGGGTCCACGTTGGCAAACATGTTTTGGTTGCTTTTTGTTTCTGGATGCCTCGGGTGACATTTGGAAACCTGCTGGGAGCTCCGAGGACTTCGAGGGGCCATTAGAGGAGGAGGAGGAGCAGGAGGAGGAGGAGGACGGAACGAGACTGGATGGGACGCGATGGGAATGTTGGGGGTTCAGGGATAAGGTCTTAAAAGAGCTTGTGAGAAAAACTATGGTAGATTGGGAGCTGATGTGTGTGTGTGTGGTGCGTGTGCCGGTGTGTGTGTGTGTGCGTGTGTGTGTGTGTGTGTGTGTGTGTGTGTGCGTGCGTGCGTGCGTGCGTGCGTGCGTGTGTGTGTGTGTGTGTCTGGGGGGGGGCACCCGTGCGCGTTCCCGCTTTCCTCCTAGGCCTCGCCAGGCCAGCGCTGCCCCGGGTCTCCTCCCCACCCTCGCCACCCGCGCTCTCCCGCCTGGGCGGCAGGCTCCCCTACCCTTGCTTTGACGGGGTTGGCTGTCACGGCTGCCACGCCTCGTGTGCCTCGCCGCTTCCCGATGCTGGCCGCCTCCGGGCCGCCTTTCTGCTCCCCCCGCGCTCCCACCGCATTGGGAGGCAGTCCTGGCCGTCCTAGAGGGACCGCCATCTCGGCCGCCGTCGTTGTCTGCGCGTCGCCCGGCCTCTCTGGCTTTCGCGGATTCGCAGGTCATGGCCCTTTCCATCGCGTAGTCTCGTCCTCCCACATCTCCCCCTCGCCATCCATGCCCGGATGGTTATGGCTTCCAGGTCGTCCTTGTCCTCCTTGTCGTTCCACGCTGCCTTTTTGCTTCACCCCCCGCCTTCCAGTCCCTGTTGGCCTAAGGCACGTTCCACCTCACTGTGGCTTCGTCCTTCCACTGCCACCCCCCGCCATCCATGCCGGGATGGTTATGGCTACCAGCGGTTTCGAGACTTTTATTGGTCTCTGAGTGCTCGGGCGGGCTTAATCGCGCGCGCGGGCGATTTGTTGTTTCCTGATGTTCTACGCCCTGTTTCTGAGCTCAGGGCCGCGAAGCCAAACATTGTGTGTATATGTGTGAGTAGGAGGTTTCGCAATCCCATGCCCCGGTCGCGCCCGGACGCGCGTGCGGATTGCCTTTGCCGCGCTGCGACGCAAAAAAGTGTGAAGAAGAGGGGGGATCCGACCGCCTTCCCCTCCAGCCTCCTTTCCGCGAGTCGCTCGACATGTTCTCTGTGACTGCCGCCAGTAGGTGTTTTCCTGGCTGCTCTGTGACGTCTCCAGGCAGCAGCGTTCTGCATCCCCGCGAGTGGGCGCGCGCAACAGCAGAAAACGTGTGTACACGCATGTGCGTATGTAGATTGCGCACCGAAGACGTTCACAGAGAGCCTTCTTGAAACGCTTGCGTTGGGAAATGTCGAGGTAACGTAGAGCTCAGACAGTGGACTGCGAGGTTCCCGAGCCGTTGGAGACACCATTGCGGGGCACGCTGGGGAGGGGCCCTCGGGGGCCATCTTGAGCGCTCTCTTTTCCGCCTCGTGGGCCGTCTGGCGCCTTCGGAGGCCGTCTTGGGGGCTTGTTGTGGGCCATCTTTGGTCACTTCAAGGCAGCGGCTTAGGCGTCCTCATAGGGCTCTGTGGTGCCGTTTCGAGCTTGCCTTGGGAGCCTCTTGGGCAGGTTGGGCTCTCTTACGACAGAAAATGTGAGAACCTGGGGACGGCTGAAAAGCCTGAGGTTTTCAATAGTTTTGGCCTCTCGGGCCGATCCCGAGGGCCTCCACGACGGCCCGCTATACCCTCAAGCGGGCCTTTTGGGACAATCTCGGGCCATCGTACGTCTTGGAGTCCATCCTGGGTTGTCTTGAATTGTTTGGGAAGCCATATTTGACCACCTTGGCACTTTAGCAGGCGAATTTTGCACCTGGGCGGCGGGACGGGCTGAAGGAGCGGTGGGAATTTCTGGAAGGTGCCAGTCGTATTTTTACATCTTAGTGCGTCAAGCACCCTGGGATCAATCACAAGGAGCGGCGGATCGAAGACGCTTGCGGCGAATCACCGCTGCCCCCTGCCTTTCGGTCTTCTGGAAACGCCCATGCGGCCAACCATTGGGCCGAAGTCTGGCCAAGCTATTGGAAGATGTGCTCCCCCAGCCGTGGTGGAACCCCTTGGGGGAACACTTGTGAGAGACACAAAGGAGGAGGAGGAGGAGGAGGAGGAGGAGGAGGAGGAGGAGGAGGAGAGGAAGGATAATGAGAAGGGAGGAGACGCAGGAGGTTCCTCTTGGGGCACACTGGGGGGCCTCGCTGCCACGGGCAGACGACAAGCCCAAAGAAGCGAGTGACGACCATCGTAGATGATCGATGTCATCCCCTCTCGATTGGGCTTGACGGGGACATTCCGAAAGTTCCATCGTTCCCCGCATTCGAGGTGGACACTCCACAAGCACAAACAGCACTACGACCGATGCCCGGCTAAAACAAGAGGACAAGCAAACAATTGACAAGGAAGCCGGCATCGACCCAAAAAAGATGCCAACACAGGTCGAAGACGGCAACGATGATTGTGGTGACGACCTCAGAGGACTAGGAGATGCCACAGTACACTCCGATGTTCTAACAGAGGAGCTTGAGTTAGAACATGACGACGACCTCTTCTTAACATTGTTGGACGCGCTTGCCGAAATATTGATTATTGTTCCCACCTCATGCTATGGAAAAACAACTGTGTAGACCCGTTGGAATTATGTGGAGGTGCAGGGGGTATAACCAAATGTGATATCAAGAGCTAGTTGACTTCAACGTTGACTTGGAAAACCCACGAGTGTCACAAGCTGTGCAGACCTGTCTACGCATTTGTTTTGTCACATTTGTCGTATGACATCGCTGGATAGATTTGCGGCCTCCAGAGAGACATGTTGGACGGGCCGATATCGTTTCGGTTCGAGCGCTTGGAGAGAATCATTATCCATGGTAGCGTGAGCAGATGCGCCCCCAGCGCCGAGAGCGGCAGCCTGCGATAGAGCCGCGGCGGGCCAGGCCCGCGGAGGGCTCCTCAGCGCAGGCCAGGGCCCAGGCGCTGGAGGCGACCAGCCACGTGGATCCAGACGGGTGCGAGGACGATTTCGAGGTGCTGTCGGATAAGGTCACTGCCCAGGTGTGGGTCTCGCTGGCAACGCGGCTGGTGAGGCTGGCCTTCAAGAGGCGCTGTTGGGCACACCTCGGACAGCATCTGTGTACGATCAAGAGACGGGGCCAAGATGGCAGCAACAGTCCAGGACGTCCAGGCGCTTCGACAGGCTCTCGAGCAAGTGCAGGGAGAGCTACGGCAAGCACGAGCGGACGCGGACGCCGCGAGTAGGGCGGCGCAGGAGGCTGCGCAGCGGGCACAGCAGGTGCTCGGGCAGCATGGTGCAGCCGCAGCGGCGGCGCAAGTGCCAGACCCTGGACCTGAGAGGATGGCCGCGGAGCAGAGATGTTCGATGGGGCCAAGCCGCCATGGAGAGACTGGTCGGTGGTGTTCGAGGCGTTCGCAGGTGCGACGAACCCAAACATGGTGGCGGCTATGGCCAGAGCAAAGCGTGAGGCAGAGCCAGTGTTGATGACGAACCTCGAGCCCGGGGACATGCAGTTGTCCAGGACGTTGGGGTACTGGCTCATCCAGACGTGCAGGAGCCAGGCGCTCGACGTAGTGCTGAATGCGGGCAAGCTCGAGGGATCCGAAGCCTGGCGACAAATACACCTTCGACTCGAGCCACAGGCGGCGAGCAGGTACGCTGGACAGTTGATGGCGCTGCTCGCCTGGGACTTCAGTGGCGAGATGATGATACGCCTGGAAGCCTTCGAGAGGGAGATCAGCCTGTATGAGCCGGCGTCGGAGGAGACCCTCTCGGACGCGATCAAGGTTGGCATAGTGCTGAGGCAGTTGCCCGAGTCCCCGCTGAGGCAGCACATGGTCATGAATGCGGAGAGACTCAAGGAGTGGCCCAAGCTCAGGGAAGAGATCCCGGCAGGCCGCAGCGGCGGCAGCGCAGAACGGGGTGGCCCCGATGGATCTCTCAGCGTTCAACAACCAGGGTTGCAAGGGGCGCTGCAGGATCTGCAACGGCAAGGGCCACGACGAGAGGAACTGCTGGCACCGCAAGGGCGGGGCTGGGGCAGGCAAAGGCAAGTCGGACAGAAAGGGCAAGTCAAGAGGCGACTCCAAGTCGAAGGGATTCTCACAGGGCGGAAAGGCAAGGGACGGCAAGGCCGGCAAGGGGCCGAAGTGCTTCAACTGCCAGGAGCACGGGCGCATGTCCAAGGACTGCCCGAAGAAGAAGAAGAAGAACAACCTGCACATGATGGAGCCGGAACCCGAGAAGGCGCTGCGCGGGCTGCGGCTCGCGCCGTTCACGATCGACGAGAAGGGCGTGGCGCGGAAAGCCTTCGACCTGCTGGTCGAGGGCGGCCTGGTTGACGACAAGCTGGTGCACGAGCTGAGCAGGCTCGGGGCGGGCGCGGCGCGGGCATCCCGCAAGATGGTGCTCGGTGTCGACTCGTGTGCAGCTACGACGGTCGTGCCATCAGAGCTGGCGCCGGACTACCCGACGTACGAGAATGACATGAGTGCGAAGGGCGAAGGCTACAGGACCGCGAACGTCGGCTGGGTGGCCGACGAGGGCACTAAGGAGCTCATCGGGTCGGCGCGCAACTCGGACGGCTCGGCGCAGGTGAGAGGCGTCAAGGCTAGGGTCGCGAAGGTCAGCAAGGCTCTCGCCTCTGTCTCGGAGATGGTGGACGCAGGCCATCGGGTCGTCTTTGATGCTGGCGGCAGCTACGCGCAGAACAAGTCGACAGGGGTGATCACACCGTTCCAGAGGCGCAACAACGTGTACGAGATGGAGATGGAGCCGATGCCGCATAGCAAGGCGAAGGACGTGATCGGCCGCGCGGAGGCCTGGTCCAAGCCCAGCTCGAGCGGCAAGAAGCGGAAGGAGATCTGCATGATGAGGAGCGATGACGCAGGTGATGGAGCTGGATCGAGTCAGGCAGCTGCGGCGGCAGCAGCAGCAGAACCAGTCCAAGAACCTGTTCAACCAGAAGTGGTACCTCCCACCTGCCCCGGTGGTTGCTCGGGAGCGGCCGGCAGTGAGAGCGGCGCGGAGACCGCGCGAGCCGACCCAGCAGGAGCGAGAGGACCACGAAGTGTCGCGCACGCGGCATCGAGCTTGGCGCAGGCACTGCGCTGCAGGACGCGGGCGAGCTGAAACTCATGTGACGAGGAGCCACACGGAGGATGCGATACCAGTCGTGGCGTTTGACTGCGGCTACCTCGGCAGCGGCGAGGACGCGGCCCCGATTCTGCTCATGAGGGACTCGCTGCACAGGTACACGGGCGCGGAGGTGTTGACCTGCAAGGGGGCGGCGCACACGCACAGCGCCGACATGCTGGTGAAGTTCGTGGTCAACGGCGGCTGCAAGAAGGCGGTCTTCATGTGCGACAACGAGCCGAGCATCGTCGCCCTGAGGGACGAGGCCGTCAAGAGGCTCAAGAAGGACCACGGCGTGGAGTGCTTGCTGGAGACCTCGACGGTTGGAGAGTCACAGTCGAACGGTCTAGCTGAAGGGGCCGTCAGGGATATGAAGGGCCTGACGAGGACCCCGAAGCACGCGGTGGAGGAGATGCACGGAGTCGCGATAGGCCCGAAGCATCCGTGCCTGCCGTGGATGGTGAGGCACGGCGCAGCAGTCCACAATCGAGGTCAAGTGGACTCGGACGGGGGCGCGCCGTGCGAGTTGAGGAAGGGGCGCGCTTACAAGAGGGCGCTCCCGGCGTTCGGCGAGAAGGTGTTCTACCTGCCAGTCGGCAAGAGGGAGTCGAGGCTGGTGGACAGGTGGCTGGAGGGCGACTACTACGGGATCCGCGACGACAGCGACGAGGTGCACGTGGAGACGCCGAAGGGCGTGATGAGAGCCAGGGGCATCAAGAGGATGCCATTGGCAGCGAGGAGTGAAAAGGCTCTTTTCTCAGAGCTGCAGGGCGCGCCGTGGCGACCTGTTCCTGGTCAAGAAGGTGAAGGGCTCGAAGTACCACCTGCCGTGGCGAAGGTGGTGGCGGATCAGGTGGTGCCGGACGTGGATCTGCCCCCTGTTCCAGGACCTGTGGGTCCTCCTGCTCCGAGGAGGGTCTACATCAGGAAGGGCGTGGAGCTGCGGCGCTACGGGTGCACCCCAGGTTGCAGGGGTTGCGCAGCGGCTCGGGACAACCCGCGCGCGATCATGCACAACGAGGAATGCCGAACGAGGATCGAGAAAGCGATGGAGGACGACCAGACGTTCGGCGGTGGAGCTCGGGTGGCAGAGGCTCACCTACGGCGAGTAGCTGGTGAGCGACCCGAGAGAAGTGAAGACGAAGAACCTGGAGCCAAGCGAGGACGAGTCGGTGATCGTGGACCAGTCGGGGAACCAGGGGCGCCAAGCTCATCTGGGACAGCGTCGGGAAGCGCTCCGGCGGCGGCGGACGTGGCCATGGGCGACGCGGCGATGATTGGTGTGCTGCTGGAACAGCTTGGTCTCGACAGCTTGGATTTGCAGGAGGTGTTCAACCCAGGGGAGTTCGCCAAGGGAGATCCAAAGTTCAACCTGAAGCAGGAGTGGCGATGGACCTCAGGACGGGCTGGGACTTCCGGCTCGAGGAGCAGCGGAAGCGAGCGAGAGCGGAGATTGAGGAGGGAGACCCTGCCTTCCTCATCATGTCTCCTGTATGCACCCCGTTCTCACAGCTGATGGAGTTGCTGAAGGCGATCGGCAAGCGCGACGAGGTCAAGTTTCAGAGGCTGCTCGCTGAGCGCAAGGTCTTCCTGGGCTTCTGTATGGAGCTGGCGGCCTACCAGCATTCGAGGAGGAAGTGGCTCCTGTTCGAGCACCCTTGGACGGCGTCAAGCTGGAAAGAGGAGTGCATCAAGAGCATCAGGGAGCTGCCCGGCGTCATAGTGGTCAAGGGCAGCCAGTGTGTGTGTGTGTGTGTGTGTGTGTGTGTGTGTGTGTGTGTGTGTGTGTGTGTGTGTGTGTGTGTGTGTTCGGAGCCAAGTCATACTGGCCGGACGGCTCGGAGGGCCTCGTGGCGAAGCCGACGGGCTGGATGGCGAATGGCCGCGAGGTGGCGAAGCAGGTGGGGATTGTGTGTGTGACGGCTCCCACGAGCATGTGCACCTCCTGGAGAGGAGGGCAAAGGCGGCTGAGAGGTACCCCTTAGGACTGGTGAAGGCTATCCTGAAGGGCATCAGGAACGAGTTGAAGATCGGCACAGGGATCCATGCGTTCGAGGTTGGCCAGACCGCGGAGGAGCCAGAGATCCTGGACCAGGCGACCGAGGAGGAGATGGCGGCCTTCTTCGACGGGATCAGCGGCGCGGTGCTGGACCCGATAGGCGTCAAGAACGCACGCATGGACGAGATGGGCTACATGAGCAGGCTCGGAGTGTTTGAGAGGAGAAAGATTTCCGAGGCGCTGCGAGTGACGGGAACCAAGCCGCTCCCACGCGGCTGGGTCGACACCAACAAGGGAGACGACCAGAAACCAGAACTACGGAGTCGGTTGGTGGCGAAAGAGACGCGGAAGTTGAGCACCTTTGGGCCTGAGGGCGCTGCGGCGACCTTCGCGGCGACCCCGCCGTCGGGGGGCCTGAGGGTGATTCTGTCTATGGCGATGACAGGGCGGCATGAAGATCGAGTGCTGACCTTCATCGATATCTCAAGAGCGCATCTACACTCGGAGCTGCAGGGGCCAGTGTACTTGAAGGCGCCAGCGGAGGATCTAGAGTGCAAGGATGACGAGTGCTGGCTGCTGCTGAAGGCCATGTATGGGCTGAGAGATGCCGGCTCATCCTTCGACCTGAAGGTGGAGGACATCATGGTGAGGATCCTGAAGTCGAAGCAGGGCGAGTTCTCGCCTAGCATCTACCAGGTTGGCAAGCTGGTCGTTTGGAGGCACGGCGACGATTTCGTGGTGCTCGGTGGGCGAAAGGATTCACAGGCTTTTACTGAGAACCTCGGCGAGCACCTGATCGTGAAAGTACGAGGAGTTCTGGGACCTGACCCGCAGAGCGGCGACATCGACGAGATCGCGGTGCTGAAATGCATTGCGAGGTGGGTCAGGCCGAACGGCAACGACGTGGAGAAGATCGAGTACGAGGCGGACCCGAGGCACGTGGAGATCATCCTGGCCCAACTGGGCCTGCAGGGTAAAGAGAGCAAGCCAGTTGTCACGCCGGGGATCAAGAGGCAGGAGCTGGATGGAGAAGCACTACAAGGACGAGAGCGGGTCATCTACCGCTCAGTGCGCATGCGTATTCAATACCTGGCGCGGGATCGACCTGATCTACAGTACGCGGCGAAGGAATCAGCACGAGTGATGCAGGACCCGACGACTGGCGGGTGGCAGGCCATGGAACGGATCGGTCGGTACCTCGTAGGTACCCCGAGGCTGGTGGTTGAGTGTCCACGGCAGGCAGATCGGCGAGTTGCCCAAGTATGCACGGACAGTGACTTCGCAGGTTGCCTGAGGACACGTAAGTCTACTTCATCGTGCACGGCGATGATTGGGAAGCATTGGATTAGAAGCAGTTCGACAACCCAAGGGTTCAATGCTCTATCTACGGGAGAAGCGGAGTTCCATGCGCTGGTGAAGGGCGGCGGTCTTGGGCTCGGCCTCAAGACTCTCGCAAAGGGCATGGGCGTAGATCTCGAGATCGTGCTGCAGTGCGACGCGACGGCGGGCAAGGGCATCGCTGAACGTCGTGGATTCGGACGAGTTCGACACCTTCATGCACCTCTGCTGTGGCTGCAGAGGGCTGCGCAGCAGAAGAAGCTGCGTGTCACCAAGGTAGCAGGTCTCGAGAACATCAGTGACATCGGTACGAAGCACCTGGACGGGCCCCTGATTAAGAAGTTCCCGACGATGATGGGGTTCGTGGCGAGAGCAGGTCGGAGCCGACTGGCCCTGCGGGCAGCGCTGGATGGATGAGTGATGAGTGAGACATCCCTCAGAGCGCTTGAGCTGGCGGCGGCGTTTGGCCGCGCGTTTTTGATTCTAAGGAGTGGTGGATCGCCACGCTCCGCTGACTTTGTGCCGGCCGTGAGAGTCGGCGGCCCCCCACGCGGAAGGGGCGCGGAAGGCCGGGAGGGTTGGGTAGATTTGCAGCCTCCCGAGAGACATGTTGGACGGGCCGATATCGTTTCGGTTCGAGCGTTTTGGAGAGAATAATATCCCAATCGCAGTTGCAGAACCGCAGGTTTGCCCTCCGATTTCACTGCGCAAGTCCACCCTGACACCCGGTGCAGACACCGCAGGGGGGACCTTCCCCACGTTATTTTCCGTGGGGAGGTTGCCGTCATACAAGATTGCCTGCAACTCCGTCTCTTTAGGGAACAACTGGTTGGTATTCTGGTCGATGAGAGCATCCCGTGGTCGATGCCAGTCACGTGAAAGCCCACCTGCACCCATAGTGACCCATGCTCAACAGGGCTACGCGATTCACGCGGCACCCTCATCAAGAAACCCAGTGGAATGATGGCCAACCGCAAGGCAGTACTTAAACCTTTCGAACACAAAATATGCTCTGGCCATCATGAGCATGCTCAGGCATGCAATCGAGAAGTGACACAGGCGGCCCATTGCACACGTAAGATGCAGTCTCTGATCGCATATGCTGTTCACATTGCGCAAGCCCTCTTTGCGCGAGTCAGGAACACATCCGCCGATCGAAGCCAGACAAACACATATCGCGATGAAGATTGCTGGATATGATCCCGACGATTCCACGAAACCACGAGAGGCCACAGGATCAATCCTACGACCGCCGCCGGGCGGACTTGGGCGCCCAGTTTGCAGATATCGCTCAAGTCAACTCACCGCGACACGACCGCAACCCACGACAATGTCTGTGGTTCGATAAGGAAGCTCATCACTGGGAATGCCCAAGCTGCGAAAAGGACGATGGCAGAAACAAGCGGAACTACTTGCTAACGCCAGGCAAATGTAGATTTGCCAAACAATGGCACCAAGCTGGCAACTTCGGACAGGCCCCGCCATCTGCACCAGCACCGGCGGACGGTGCACCTGCACCAGATGTTGCTGCGGCGGCAGCCGCACCGCGCGAACTGTTCGACGATGTACCAGCTCCAGCAGCAATGCCACCTGCACGGCAGGTGGCATTGCCAGCTTCACCTGTACCAGCTCCAGCAATGACACTTGTACCAGCTCCAGCAGCAATGCCACCTGCACGAGCTCCAGCTCCGCCTGCAGCAACGCCACTTGTAGCAGCTCCAGCAGCAATGCCACTGCGGGGCTGTCCACCACCTCCCCGCTCACGCAGGAACCCTGGTGGCCCGGCTGTTGGCGTCAGCAGCTTCTACGTGACAAGATGCGCGCGCGGCCCTGGCGGCAGTGGCGCCGGCAATTCTGGCGCCGGTAGCCCTTCGGGTCCACCGCGCGTTGCTGGAACGCGTGGGTGCGAAGAGTGGCGCTGAACCGCCTCTTCCCCCGCCTCCAGCAGATGCGCGGGCGCTTGCGAGACTGCCCGATTGGTCGAGGTCCGACATTCAGATGAGTCGTCAAAACCTACGCAGGTGCAACCCAGTCACCGCAGTGATGGAGTTGCGTAGCCATGCTGGCGAACGTAGGACTAGACGTTGTCCGATCGAATATGATAAGGCGTAGCCGACTCGCGCCGCGAGCGCAGAGTTCGGGAGGGACCAGGCAACGCAGCTATGCCATCAATCAGCCTCGCTGGCTAATTCGTCGAGGAAGCCGAATGTGATTCGATAGTCTTCAAACAGCGCATATCATTTCGCATCATCTGCCGATGCGTTCGTTGAGCTGCTGGCCAACAGATAGCCGACATGGCGACGCATGTTTTATTTGACGCCCATCGCCAATGACGGATGCGGCGCGGCCCAACTGCGGCGTTGCATTCCGACGGAGACGGCGTGTTTAATAATGGCGCCGCTAAGGCTATTCTAGAGGCCGAGGGCGCGGGGCCTCGCGCGCGCGCCCGATGCCGCCGCGCCGCCGCCATCGAGGTGCGCGGCGGCGTCATCAGGCGCGCCCCGCATGTCGCGGAGGAAGAACGCAAGCGTCACAACATCCCATTAGTTTTCACAGTATTGCACGAAAGCCTATTTGTCTGTAGTGCGCATGCGTTCTACAACGGAGAATCGCCATATCAGGGTTTTTTTTGCGGCAACGGGCGCGCCTGCCAGACCTCGCGGCATTGGGCGATGAGCGGAGGACGGGAACGTCCGATCGCAATACGCATTGAAGCTATCACCCAGGCCACAGCAGTAGCCAAAGCTAACAGAGGCCCACGCGTTAAAACAACGGCAGCAGGACACCGCAACAATCAACCATGCGATCTCGTGGACTACCACCTCCCGACCACAACAAAGAACGACTGGGGTGAACGGAACGGCCCATGCCCCATCGCCCGCATTTAGCTTGATCGAGAACCGGCAGCCGGCGGTGGGGAAGTCTTCGCACAGCATCCAGATTCGCGTCGCACGCTGTACATGGAGGTGCTACTGGTTCGCGAGATGGGCTCGGGCGCAGCGGCCGCGCGCGCGGCAATGGCCGTCGTCGCGAGCCTGTCCGCGGGAGAACCTGCCGCGGTCTTCGGCCACCTGCCAACCGAGCACGGAAACGCGCGGATGACCGCGGCGAGCCGTCTCTCGCCGGAGGCGCATTTTGGTTTGCAGCTCCTTCTGAGAAACTACATCTGAGTAGGGAGCGCAGCAACTGTACGCTCGAGGAAAATCGCCCACGGGTTACCTGCAGCACCATGCACTGATAGCTGCACCCAGGCATGCGATGACAACAACGTTGCACCAGGATTTCATTTTTGCGAATCCGAAGGCGCAGCCCTCAATATCCATGACGTCGCGGTGTCTACGCGCGCGCGCGAACAATCCAATGCCTTCAGTCACCAATGCCCTTTGCAGGCTTCGACGAATATTCATCCACGTTCGAGGAACAAGCGGGCGCGCCAGCCTCGGGCGGCAACGCTCGAGGGAGGGGCATCCTAAAACTCCAGCCGCTCTCGACGGCAAACGCCCGACCATCGCCGCAGAATCGGGCGTGAATCTATGAGTGCGCGTCATGGGGGGCGCGGCGCGTGGGGCTCCGAGAGGAAATCGAAGTACTCGAGACTCCTCTATGGAAATTCTTTTACTCCGCACCTATGGAATTGACCGCGGACAGATATTCTCTTGCGACTGTTGCTAGTGAGGAGCAAGGACACTTGCGGGAAACTGGCCGCGCTCGCCACGACGTTGCTGACTAAACTTCCCCGGCGCCGTGCGCCGCGGAATGCCATGGGTTCGGGCGCGCGCGGTCAGTGCGCTTAGCTTTGCTTATATACTGGCATGGCCAAAGTTGTTCTGGCAGAGCATCAGCGCGCGCCGCTATGCGATGGCCTCGCGCGCATATGTCACAGCCGCAGCAAAAAGAGCTGCGGTGGCCATGGAAGACGACCTCCCGACGAAGGCTGAAACGCGGGCGAAACCGGCCAACATATCTAAGGCCTTGTACGCGGAAGTCAACATATGGCGCGGACGTAAATTCTTCAATGTGCAGGAGATGCAGGCCATTCAAAAAATGCAACCAACATCGTGATATCTAGACGCGCGCGCAAGTGGAGGTTCGTGAATAACGAAGATGGCGAAATTGAATGGACCATCCGGCTTCGCCCGGCCCTTCGCGGCTCCGCGGATGCCGACGCCTTCGGAGCGGGGGCCCCCCCCCGCCCAGCTCGTCGAGCAAGTCGCAGACTTCGCGAGCGCGGCCGCGCGCAAGGATTCATGGGCCACGGCGCCCATGCGATTTGATTAGGTTTTCTTGAAGGGCCTGGCTTATTATCAGCTGGCAGAAGCCACTGGACAGAACGACTGCATGGCCCACTTTACTCTTCAACCCGGCCAGGCCCCGGTGCTGCGCGCGCTCTGGACTCTGCGCCCCATGGCGAATCGAGGCGCCCCTCACACTGCCTGGGGCCAGTCTCTGGCGCCAGGGGAGCCTCTAGGGCATTCTCATGTAAATTCATGACTGCCAAGAAGTTCCGGGCTGAAGCCCACGTCGCACGACGAAGGATTTGAGACAGGCCTGCGCCTCCTAACAGCCGAGCACGTCGACGACCGACGTAAACGCGGCAGGAGTCGGGGATGCGACCGATAAGCGCGTCAAATTTGACCTGGGCAAGTGAGTTGATGCGCCGAACTTGCGGGCGATGCAGCGGTTGAAAAGGCGAAGCCGATATGTTCATCCATTTACGTGGTGCGCTAGCGCATGCACTAGTCACGCAGGCGTGGCGGCCGGCACTCGCAGTTGCATCGCGGCGTTCCCAAGGGACTTCGACCCTGCAAATGCGAGAGGTCAGCGCCGCAACGCGCAAATTGCAACGAGGTCCAGAGAAAATGACATACCAGTTCATGCCTCAGCCAGGAGAAATGGGCCTCTATAGTGACTCTGGCCACCGTCGCCTCAATGAGGGCGCCGACGACGAAGTCGAGGGGCGTGGCGCCCGAGGGGCCGGGCTCTCACTGCGCGGGCGCGCGCGCGTAACGGCAGGGCAGCAGTGCATCCTAATCGACGCATCTTGCCAGTCACATCGCTTGCAGGTGCGCTCCAGCTTTTCAATTGAAACATTAGCTGCAGCCCATAACCTGGAAGACTGCGATCCTGGCGTTGCGTCGCTGCGCGAACTCAAGGCTGGGCCACAAATGCCGACGCCACTTGATAACGCGTTAGAGTTAGGTCGTCCCAGCACAAGGGCAACTCTTGCCATGGGCGCCATTTCGGCGTTCAAATCTCCGCCATGCAAGGATTTGAAGAAGCGTGTCCTGCAGGGTTGCATCAGATAAAACAGATGAAGGACAGAGGCATCGCTCGAAGCGCACAGCGGTGTGGTGCGTGCCATATGACTGCCGACGGTGATGCTTCGGGCTGTATAGATCGCGAACTACGACTGCAGGTAATGGAAGGCAAACCGCCCTTGGAATTCGAGGTCGACAAGTACATGCCTTATCGGGGCAACAGTGCAGCAGCATCAACATGGAGATGGCCTAGTCAGGGCTACCGGATGCGATATAGGGTTGGTTACAGCACAGCGCGCATTTTGTCGGACATGGTCCGCATATTCGCATTAGCTCGGACACGGGCCATTCGTCTTGATGCCTGACGGTTAATTAGGTCAGACATCTCCTCTTTGCAATCGTTGACGTCTCTTTGATTGGTCAGACGTCCTCGCTCTAAACATCTACTGGTAATCACGTGGCCCTGCCCGTGTCCGCCCACAGTTATCTGTGGTTTGTAACGCGGTTTTGCACGTGGGGGACCATGATGCTCTGCGTTGCCAATTGCTCGGCTTGACTTCTTGCGCTGCGGGGAATCCCCCCTTGCCTTGCCAGCGTAGACCAACTGGGGGCAGGACCTAGCGCTCGACCCCTCCCGTTCCGATTTTGAGCGAAGTCAAGGGGGAATGCTTAGCGAGCGCTATATCCTACTGGCGCTGCTTTGACTCAAGGCAGCGGCGCCCCATTTCCTTACCTCGAGCACTCGAGGCACAATCGAACCTGAGTATTTGGTTGCAGGCCGCATCCACCGATGGTTCATCTCTCTCTCTCTCTGTCTCTTTCTCTCTCTCTCTATCTCTCTCTCTCTCTTTCTCTCTCTCTCTCTCCCTCTCTCTCTCTCTCTCTCTCTCTCTCTCTCTCTCTCTCTTCTTGTCTATGATAAGACACCGTATGTATGTATGTATGTATGTATGTATGTATATATACATATATATATATATATATATATGGACAGCCCCCCCCCCCCCCCCCCCCCACCCCGCCCCGCGCCTTCTCCCTCTTCCACGAAGCTGGCCCCTGCTCCTTTCCGTTCCTCTTCCCGAGTCACGTGTTGCAAGCGGAGTGTTTTTTTTTTTTTTTTTTTTTTTTTTCTTTTTTCTAACGCATTCTCAGAAGATGCCAGCGTCCGCTTCCCCCGCCTTTGGGAGAACAGGTATAAGATATCAGCGGCAGCGCGAACAATAACGAAAAGCGAACCATATGATTTCTCAGGCATTCCCGGGATGCACAGGGATGCTGGGTGACGATCGCTGCGCAGGCTCAGGGATCCCAGGGATTCCAGGGATGCGAAGTCACGATCCCTGAGCAGGCTCAGGGGCCCCAGGGATTCCAGGGATGCGAAGTCACGATCCCTGTGCAGGCTCAGGGATCCCAGGGATCCCAGGGATTCTTAACCCTCCAGCAAAACCGACCTGGGGATCCACCAGCGATCCCGCGCTCAGAATCCCTGGGATCCCTGAGCCTGCTCAGGGATCGCGACGTCGGTTGTCAGCAAACCATATGATTTCTCAGGGATCCCAGGGATTCCAAGGATGGCAAGTCACGATCCCTGAGCAGGCTCAGGGATCCCAGGGATTCCAGGGATGCGAAGTCACGATCCCTGTGCAGGCTCAGGGATCCCAGGGATCCCAGGGATTCCTAATCCTCCAGCAAAACCGACCTGGGGATCCACCAGCGATCCCGCGCTCAGAATCCCTGGGATCCCTGAGCCTGCTCAGGGATCGCGACGTCGGTGGTCAGCAAACCATATGATGTCTCAGGGATCCCAGGGATTCCAGGGATGCGAAGTCACGATCCCTGAGCAGGCTCAGGGATCCCAGGGATTCCAGGGATGCGAAGTCACGATCCCTGTGCAGGCTCAGGGATCCCAGGGATCCCAGGGATTCCTAACCCTCCAGCAAAACCGACCTGGGGATCCACCAGCGATCCCGCGCTCAGAATCTCTGGGATCCCTGAGCCCGCACAGGGATCGCGACGTCGGTTGTCAGCAAACCATATGATTTCTCAGGGATCCCAGGGATTCCAGGGATGCGAAGTCACGATCCCTGAGCAGGCTCAGGGATCCCAGGGATTCCAGGGATGCGAAGTCACGATCCCTGTGCAGGCTCAGGGATCCCAGGGATCCCAGGGATTCCCAACCCCCCAAATCTTTGCGAAGTCGCCAGGCCGATTTTGCTGGAGGGTCAGGAATCCCTGGGATCCCTGGGATCCCTGAGCCTGCACAGGGATGGTGACGTCGCATCCCTGGAATCCCTGGGATCCCTGAGCCTGCTCAGGGATCGTGACTTGGCATCCCTGGAATCCCTGGGATCCCTGCGACATCATCATATGGTTTGCTGACCACCGACGTCGCGATCCCTGAGCGGGCTCAGGGATCCCATGGATTCTGAGCGCGGGATCGCTGGTGGATCCCCAGGTCGGTTTTGCTGGAGGATTAGGAATACTTGGGATATCTGGGATCCCTGAGCCTGCACAGGGATCGTGACTTCGCATCCCTGGAATCCCTGGGATCCTTGAGCCTGCTCAGGGATCGTGACTTGCCATCCTTGGAATTCCTGGGATCCCTGAGAAATCATATGGTTTGCTGACAACCGACGTCGCGATCCCTGAGCAGGCTCAGGGATCCCAGGGATTCTGAGCGCGGGATCGCTGGTGGATCCCCAGGTCGGTTTTGCTGGAGGGTTAGGAATCCCTGGGATCCTTGGGATCCCTGAGCCTGCACAGGGATCGTGACTTCTCATCCCTGGAAGCCCTGGGGTCCCTGAGCCTGCTCAGGGATCGTGACTTCGCATCCCTGGAATCCCTGGGATCCCTGAGCCTGCACAGCGATCGTCACTTAGCATCCCTGTGCATCCCTGGAATGCATGAGAAATCATATGGTTCGCTTATCGTTCTTGTTAGCGCCGCCGCTGATATCTTATACCTGTTTTCCCAAAGGCGGGGGAAGCGGACGCTTGCATCTTCTGAGGTTGAGGAGGAGGAGGAGGAGGAGGAGGAGGAGGAGGAGGAGGAGGAGGAGGAGGAGGATGGACCCAGGTGAAAGAGGGGAAGGAGATGCAGGATCAAGTGGTTGGCTCTCCAGATGACGTTCATTATTCGATGCCGCCGTCTCAGGGCGAGAACCGAATCTGGCAGTAAAGAAAATGCGACTGCGATCAGCGCGAACCGCGATGAAAATCAGTGGGTGCTGGGGGGGGGGCTGCGCTATGTATATATATATATATATATATATATATATATATATATCCCTGGGGGCGAGGCCGGGGGGCCCAGGACAGGTGCCCCGACCCCCCATGGCGGGAGGGGGGGGCCTGGAGCCTCCCTGGAGCAGCCCAGGCGGCCCAAAAGTGCCCCAAGAGCGCTCCACGACAGGCCCAGCAGGCTCCAAGAGGCCCAAGAGGGCGCCAAGAGGGCCCCAAGATGCCCCCAAGATGCCCAAGATAAGCCCAAGACGGCCAAAGAGGCCCCCAAGACGCTCCAAGAGGCCTCCAAGAGGCCCCCCCCAGAGGGCCCCAAGAGGCCAACATCGTAATTTTATTAAGGTTTTGGATACATTTTGCCTTTCCCGCCTTTCAGCTTTCCGACGCTCCACGACGGCTCACAGGCCCCCCGCGGACGCCCCAAGACAGCCCAAGAGGCCTCCAAGAGGGGTTCAAGACGGCTCCGGAGGGCCCCAAGACGCGCCCAAGACGGGCGAAGAGAGGCCCAAGACGGCCCCAAGAGGGCCCCAAGAGGGGAACCGCGAACCGGAAATTCGAGCCTCCCGCCTCCACAGGGCCCCGGGAGGCCCCAAAGGGGCCCCAAGAGGCCCCAGGAGACCCCCAAGAGGCACCCAGGAGGCCCGGTGCCCGAAAACAGCTGCCCCGACCCTCCATGGGGGTACCGGTGCTCATTTTCCCTGTGCCTCGGAGGCCGCCGCCTCCGACCCCCCATGGGAGGACGGGGCGGCCGGGGAGGTCTAAAATCAGAGTGAGGGGGCCGAACGGTCATTCACTGTCCCTGGGTGCGTGGCTGATGTGGAATTCCGCGGTGCGGATTCTTGTTGTTGCTGTTGTTGTTTGTTGTTGTTGTTGTTTGTTGTCGTCGTCCCACCCGCAACCCGCCCCGCGACCCACCCGCGACCCACCCCGCGACCCACCCCGCGATCCACCCGCGACCCACCCGCGACCCACCCGCGACCCACCCCGCGACCCACCCCGCGACCCACCCCGCGACCCACCCCGCGACCCAACCCGCGACCCACCCCGCAACCCCCCCGCGGCCCACCCCGCGACCCACCCGCGACCCACCCGCGACCCACCCGCGACCCACCCGCGACCCACCCGCGACCTACCCCGCGACCCACCCGCGACCCACCTTCGACCCAAACCACTTTCAAGGTACAAACCACAATTTTCGGCGCCTGCGGCGGGCTTTTTTGCATTCCTTCCAAGTGGAGAGCCCGCGACACATCCCGTGACCAACTCGCGACCAACCCGCGACCCAAACCACGTTCAGGGTACAAACCACATTTTTCGGCGCCTGCGGCGGGCATATTTTGCATTCGTTTCAGGTGGAGAGCCCGCGGCCCACCCGCGACCACGTTCAGGGTACAAACCACATTTTCGGCGCCTGCGGCGGGCATCCTTTGCATTCGTTCCCTGTGGAGAACCCGCGGCCCACCCGCGACCCAAACCTCGTTCCGTGTACGAACCAATTTTTCTGGCGCTTGCGGCGGGCTGCTTTTGCATTCCTTCCAGGTGGAGGTGGAGAGCCCGCGACCCACCCGCGACCTAAACCACGTTCACTGAACAAACCAATGCCGCACAAGCGCGGCGGCGGATTCTTGCATGCCGTCTGAGCCCGCAAGGACCTCTTCACGCCCCGCACATCCACGCCAGCCCGTCCAGCAACTTTGCCCTGGCGAGTTGCCTTGATCAGAGAAGGCGGGGAGCATAAAGTGGAAAAAAGGATTGCGTTGCAGTTATCTTGGGAAAGGAGGGGGAGGCAGGATGAGTAAACAGGGGACGAGGAGAACGAGGAAGAAGAGAGGATGTAAGGAGAACGTGGAGAAAGAAAAGGAGGAGGAGCAGGAGGACGAGGGGGAGGAGGGGGAGGAGGGGGAGAAGGAGGACGAGGAGGGGGAGGAGGGGGAGGATGATGATGATGATGGACGACAATGGGAGGACGATGATGGAGGCCGATGAGGGGGAGGACGACAATGGGAGGACCATGATGAAAAGACGAGGGGGGGAGAGGGAGGACGAGGAAGAAGAGGAGGAGGAGGAGGAGGACGAGGTGGAGGAGGAGGATGACGATGACGATGAGGACGAGGAAGAGGAGGAGGAGAAGGAGGAGGAAGAGGAGGAGGAGGAGGAGGTGGAGGAGAGCGCCATCGACAAGGAAGGTGGGGGCCACGAGGTCCGCCGGCTCGACGACGCCCGCGTCGCCCGCGCCCGCCCCCTCACTCTTATCCGCAATTGCGGGGTGCTACGTATTCCAGGAGGGCCTCCAGAGGCTCCCAAGACAGCCCAAGCGGGCCCCGAGTCGCCGAAAGACCGCTCCAGGACGCCCTAGATAGACGCTTTAAGTCGCTTCTCCAGAGCGCTTCAAGAGTCCGAAATCGTCAATTTTACAAAGGTTTTCGAACGATTTTGGCCTTCCAGCCTTTTCGGCTGTCCGACGTTCCAAGACGGCTCAATAGGCCCCCAAGAGCGCCCCAAGACGGCCCAAGAGGGCCCCAAGAGGGCCCCAGAGTCGCCCAAGACAGCCCAACAGAGCCCCAAGACGGCCCCAAGATGCGCCCAAGAGGGGGACCACGACTCCAAAATTCGACCCTCCGGCTTGAAGAGTGCCCCAGGAGGCCCCAAGGAGCCCCCAAGAGGCCCCAGGAGGCCCCCAAGAGGCACCCAGGAGGCCCAAACGAGGCCTAAAGAGGCAACAAAACAGCCCCGAGGAGGCCCCACAACGGTCCCAAAACGGCTACCGAGAAGCTGCGAAACTGCCTTCACGACGTCACCGACAGGCCAACCACGAGATCCAAACCAACACCCATGAGGCCTCTGACCCACCCCCCAGGGCACGGTGGCGGGAGCTTGTGCACAGCATGTTCCAGCGGGAGCCTTCCGGAACACGCTGCAGGAGGAGGAGGAAGATCAGGAGGAGAGAGAGCTGGAGTGGGAGCAGGAGGAGGAGGGGGACGAGGAGGAGGAAGAGGTCTCCAAGACAACTCCAAGATAGCCGAAGAGGCTTCCAAGAGGGCCCTGGGCGGCCCACGAGGGCTCCAAGGCGGTGCCTGAGGCGCCCAAGACGGCCCGAGAGGGCCCCAAAACGGCCCCAAGAGAGGCCCAAGAAGGGAAGCACGAACCGAGAATCCGAGCTTTCTACCCCGAGAGGTTCTCGGGAAGTCGCAAGAGGCCCCCAATCGGGTCCAAGAGGCCCCCAAGAAGCTCCCAAGAGGGCCGACGAGGTTCCAAGAGATCTCCCAAGGTGGCCCCAAGAGGCACAACTCATTGTTTTACGATTGGGCTTTGACGGGCTTTAATTTTTTCTGCCTTTTGGCATCCCGATGCTCAAAGACGGCCCAAGAGGCTTCCAATCCCGCTCCCATATAAAGGAAGATGCCTCCAAGAGGGCCCCAAGACGGCCCGCGAGGGCCCCAAGACGGTGCTTGAGGCGCCCAAGACGGCCCGAGAGGGCCCCAAGAGCCCCAAGAGAGGCCCAAGAAGGGGAACGCGAGCCAACAGCAGAGCGTTCCCCCCAAAAGACCCACAGGAGGCCGCAAGAGGCCCTCAAGTGGTCCGACGAGGACGCCAAAAGCTTCCCGAGGGCCCAAAAGGCCCCTAGGAGACGTCCAAGAGGTTTTAAAATAGCTCAAGAGTGCCCTCGATGCGTCAAAACTGCTTCAAGGAGGCCCCCGGGAGGCTTCCGGATTGCCTCAATCTGGCCGCAGGTGGTCTCAAGTCGGGCCTCCACGCAGCCAAGACGGCCAATGACGGCTTCAGATTGCAGAACCGATGCCCCCAAGGGACCTTCAGACGCCCCCCCAAGAAGCACCCAAGAGGTGCCTCCAACAGCCAGTTGACGAGGCGTGCGGAACACCACAGAAGCTCCGCAGATGCCGTCGCGCGCCTGTGCTTGATAGCGACGTCCAAGATCGTCCAGCGCCCCTCCGGCCTGGGCTGGAACCTGAGCGCGCGCGAAGCGCGCGCGATGGTTCTAGTATATATATATATATACACACATATGGTGTCTTATCTGTTCAGGCGCACGGTGTCCTGGTGGCCCGGGCTCGCGATGTGGATCGTGGACATCCAGTGGGGGCGGCTCCGGGCCCTGCTGCTGAGGGTGCCTGCGTCGCGGGCGTCGGCCGTCTTGCGCGCCTGGTCGGGTGCCTGGACCACGGCGGCGCGCATCAAGCCCACGGCGGGGCGCTGCGTGGATGGCACTGCTCATCGGGCTTGTCGCTTCGGGTGGCCGGAGGAGCTGGGCGACCAGCGGCGCTACTTCGCGTGCCCGGTCCTCGGCAGGATCTTCGAGGATACGTTGGGGGTGGACCACTTGCCATTCGACTGCTCGTTCGATGGGGCTATGCGCGCACGGCTGAGAAGGATCTCTTAGTGCCTGCCCTCGCGTACTGAATTTTTGTATTGTGTGGCGCCGCTCACGGAGGGCGGTGCGATTCTTCCCCGTGAGCGCTTAGACGACATAGCCAGGGCGGCACTTGAGATTCTTCTCCTTGCTCGCGCAGGTTGCCGGAGGTGTGGGCCGGCGACGCTCCTCTTTTTTGGTAGGCCGCTGAGGTGGGCTCGGCGGCCACGGCCGCAACGGTGCGCAGCACGCGAGCCATAGATGGCGTCTTATCTGTCACCTTGCTTGCCATCAATGGACAAGCTATGGGGTGCCCCGATACGTTTCCGACGTTCTCATAGGAAACAGGGTCTCAACTTCCTACCCCATGTAGCCCCTGACCTTCGCCTCTCAATCAGGGGCCGTCGCGGGCGAGAAGGCCTGCGACGTGGCCCCAATGGGAACCTTGAAGAAGAATGCTGCTTAACCAACCAAAAGTCCAGTGACCGTGCGTGGTTCATGGCTCATAGGTTTTGTGAATATTGGAGTGCCTGTCGAATCCCTCAGACCTCCTGTGCGGTTTTCGGGAGTTTGCCGAGCCCTTCTCGGAGTTTTCGTTCGGCCTATTGTGGGGCCCTTCGGAGTGTCCTGGGGCGTGTTCGGGGCCATCTTGAGGGGGGGGCCGCAAAGGCACCTTCGAGCTCCCCCTCCTGAGTTCCTCTGGGAGCCTTTTCGTGCCCCGCTTGGGGGCTCGGGGGCCACATGCCGACAAGGCGATGTGCCAACAGCACACGAACAACTCTCTCTTTTTCAATTTGCGGTCTTCCTTTTAGATGGTCCAAGACGGCCAAAACGCCCCCCAGGGGAGTCCCAGGACGGGCCCTAGGATCCTATTTTGGGGCAGGTTGGAAACTTAGATTCTGGCTCGCGTCCCGCTGGCTTCGGAAGACATCACGCATCGACCCCCCAGAGCGCCCAGCAACGCCTCCAAGTAGGGGCGTTTGAAGAGTTGTTTTTTTTTCTCCGTATTTGCCGTATTACTAAATTTCAATCGTTGTAAGGACCGCCGCTTTGCCTGCGACCCAGTAGTGGATAGACATGTACAGATCGATGCATCGACATAATTGCATAGATACTCGTACATGCGGCTACCCAACCTAAAAGTGGTGCCAGATTTTCCCATATGGTTTCCAGGGCCACGTGACGGCCACAAGGAAGCTTTTGGCGGCCCCAAGACGGGCTGACAGTGGCCCGCGATGTGCCTTGGGTGGTTTCATGGCATCCCCGATATCCTCGTGCTGGGTCCATGTAAGGCCTTGGGTATAGTAGTTGGTATTTTTGCGTCGGTGCCTTAGGGGGCCCCAGGAGCCTCGGACCGCCCACGCTAGACGGCCCCAGGACGACGGCCCAACATCGGCCCATGACGACTCCAATACGGCCCAAAACCAGCCGAAGACAGCCCAAGCCGGGCCTGAGGTGTCCCCAAGGCCCACCCCCAATGCCCCAAGATGGCCCCGGACTCCCGCAACAGCTAAGGAGCTCCAAAGAGCCACCCAAGAGGCCCAATCACCTTGGAAAGGGCCTTCGCAAGGCGCCGAGACAACACCCCCACCACGGGGCATCGCGAAGTGCACGAGCCATGGCGTGACGCCGCCATCTCCTGCGCTGGAGTTTCGGCGCGCGAAGGGCGCGCGTACCGCCGCGTACCTGTAGCATTCGCGTGCGCAACACATGATCCCGCATCGAGGGTTCACGAGCCCCCACCCCCAGAAGGGGTTGACACCAGGCTTTCCCCAACCCCTCCTTCCCCCCACCCCCCGTGACGTTGCATCGTCGAGAGGCCTCGCCTGTCCCCAACAGTTGTGTCGTTTCCTGTGCCCGAGACGGGCTCGATGCGGTCTCGACGCGGATTTGGCGTAGATTCGACGCGGATGCGACACGGATCCGACACGGACCCGACGGGTCCGACATGGATTCGACATGGATTCGACGCGGATAGGGCCGCGACTGGACAGACAAGGTCCCCCGTGGATGCAACATAACAGATGTGGTGGATGGGGGCGGCGACGAGCAGGAGCAGGAAGAGGAGGAGGAACACGACGATGAAGACGACGACCTTTTCAGAAGGACGGGTCCCCGTGCGCTGGAAGGTTGCAACCCTGCCACTCCTTGAAGCACCTCAGCACCTCACCACACCTACGGGTGCGGGGGCACTGTAGCACCACACCACACACAGTGGCGGGGGTATCGGCGGCGGGTTGGGGGCTGATCCCATGAGCATGGGGTAAGAAGGGGGCGACCCTGTATCACCTATACACATACAACGCACGTGCTTGCACGCGATTCTAAATGTAAACATACATGTGTGTGTGTGTGTACGTGTGCGTGTGCGTGTGCGTGTGCGTGTGCGCGCGCCTATGTGTGTGTGTGTGTGAGTGTGTGTGTATGCATCTGTACTCAACTTTATACACCCCGTCGCCGTGCGCGGGGCCGCGGCGCCAAAACAAGTGAGTGTGTGTCTGTGCCCCTGTGGAGCCCTGCTCTCGCAGCCCTGGCCACGCTTTGATGGAAGGGCCAGTGTGTTGCAATGCGGGAGGGAGGGAACGCCATCATCAAGCAGTGGCGACCCGTCCCGTCTCGCCTATAGCCCCACCAAAGAATGTTCTACGAATTGTTTGTGGTCTGCACGAAATGTTCTTAGACAATGTCTGGCTGAGTCTGTCTCGTTTAAACACATCGGGTCTATGTTCTAAGAATATGGTTTTTCAGAAAACATGTCCGGGTTTCAGAACATGTCGTCGTAGGCAAATATAAAGTTCGGAACAGTCGGTCCCTGCTCAACATCAGCAGTTCGACGTGCAGCGCGACGGGGTGAGAAAGAGAGAGAGGGATGGGAAAGAGGAGCGGGATGCTGATGATGATAATGATAATGATGCTGATGATGATAATGCTGATACAAATGATAATGATGCTGATGCTGCTGATGATGATCGTAATGATGATGATTATGATGATGATGATGATGATGAAGGTGATGGTGATTGTGATGGTGATGATGGTGATGATGGTGGTGGTGATAGTGATGGTAATTGTGATGGCAATGGTGATGATGATGAAGATGATGATGATGACGATGCCGATGATGATGATGATGATGATGCTGCTGATGCTGATGATGGTGATGGTGATGGTGATGGTGATGATGATTGTGGTGGTGATGATGTGTTCATGATGGTGATGGTGATGGTGATGATGATGAGTATGATGATGATGATGATGATGATGATGCTGATGCTGATGCTGATGCTGATGCTGATGCTGATGCTGATGCTGATGTTGATGATGATGATGATGATGATGATGATGCTGATGCTGATGATGATGATGATGATGATGCTGATGCTGATGATGATGATGATGATGATGATGATGATGATGATGATGATGATGATGATGATGATGATGATGATGATGATGATGGGAAGGATGGGGAGGAGGAGGGAGGAGGAGGAGGAGGAGGAGGAAGAGGAGCAGGAGGAGCAACGCAATGATGAGTGGGAGGCTCCGTAGCCATTCTGACTCAAGCAGAATCCTGAGATCCGACGTGCGGGAAAACCAGCACCGTGAAATCACCCCCGACCCCATCTGTTGCGGCGTCCATCGAGCCGAATCGATCCGTGACATCCTTAGGACCCGATCTGGACGCCCGAAATGGGTACTGAAAGAATGGGTACTATGCCCAACTGCAGTTCCTGTTCATTTTGAACAGGATTTGCTGTCCACGCCGCCGCGGCCTGTGCCCATTTGAGACAGAGGGCCGCCTGCCCAACAGCGGCCGCTGTTGGTTTGGGACAACATTTGCTGTTGGGCATTGTACCCATTTGTTCGGTACCCATTTCGGGCGTCCAAACGCGAGATCGGACGAACATGCCCGGAATGAAACATGCAACTCCCAGATCTTTGGGAACGGCGCGGCCGAATCGCAGGCCCAGGGTCCCGACGTCGTGTTTTTTCCCCGAACGTGGATTACTCCAGAGATATTTCGATCCCTTCCCCAGGAATTCGCCTCGGGGTTGGACAGAACCCCCAACAGTGACACGTCGATTAGTGAATTGTCCGTTTTCGGTTCTCGAGATGGCGCCGTGGCCGTTATTTTCCAGGCTTGCGCCCGCCAGGTTTGGGCCTCAGGTCGTTTTCACTAAACCACGTTTTACTAAAGGGAGGTCTGTCCATCCCCGATCCCCCAGGACGGCCTTCACGTGTGGCAGGTCAACGTGTCAATTGCGGCGGATAATGGTGCATCTAAGTTCTGTTAGCTGCGAGTACTGCCCGAGTTAGGTTCGAATTCGCTAGTTCGAACGGTGTTTTGATATACTAGAAGCTACTTCGGAGCCGCTCGCGCCATGACTCGGATTAAGAAACCTGATCGGATCGAATTTGATTATAATTTCACTTTGATCGACATGACGGGCTTTTTATCCTGGGCTTGTCCTTCTACTGGCCAGGAACCCTACAACAGCCCCCGTGGGCCGGTAATGCGGTTTCAAAATGTCGAAAGTTTGGGATCAGAGCCGACCCCCAGGACCCAGGAACTCTTGTAGGGGTGCGTTTCGGCCAGAACTTCGGGGGGGAATCCAGCCTTGGCGACGAGAGGCTCCCCCCAGATGCCCAAGCGTGGACCGAAAACTGCCCAAAGCCTGGGTGTCGTCTACTCCTCGAGTCTCGATACCCTCAAGGCGTTGCGTCATGCTGCGGAAGCGCGCAGGATGGATGCGGGAACCTGCAGTCCAATTCCGCATTTCCGACGTGGCGCGTCTGGGATCCGCGATATCATTCTTAGCCGCAGACTGCCCGCCGGCATCGCAGCCGGGCCGTCGTCGCACAGCGCCTATCATCGCCCTTTGGCGCCCCTTCTCTTTTCCTTTCCTCCCGCTCTACATACATCTTGCGCATACCAAGCGTTGAAAGCTTTTGAGACGCCGCAGGCCTGGGGCGCGGCCGAGGGGATGACCCAGGGCCCCCCCGACGAGGGCGGTGATGGCGCCGCGCTCGCTCCAGGCCGCTCCAGGAGCCCGCGGCGGGCGGCGCCCCCCTGCGACGGGGACCCGCTGGAGCTGTGGGGCAGCGAAGTGAGAGAGCACCCGGGCCTCAAGAGACGCGGGCCAATGCATGCGGGGGTCAGTCAGTGCGCCGGAACTTGCAGGATCCTGCAGTCCCAGGGGTGCACTGACCCGGGTTTCGGTGCAGGATCTTGCAGGATCCTGCGGGATTTTGCATGGTCCTGCAAAGCCTGACTGACCCGGGTTTGCATGAACCCGGGTCCATGCGTCCC